AGATTCAAATAAGCAGCTCTTCTGGTCTGTCATTGCTTTTTCTTGCATTGCAATATGACGTGCCGTCTTCCACCATCAAATAAGAACTTCTCAGAGATGCTTTTTGGTGGGCTCAATATCAAGCAGAAAAAAAAAAAAAGGCAGAAAAATTGGATGTTATGAAATTTTCAGTCTGCCAATTTCCCAGTTTATGGAGGAACCTGCAGAAATTCATCTGAGTAATATAAATTACAGAGACTTTCATGAGTAAAAGCAGTGGAATCAGCGATTTAGTTTGTGCCCTTCTATCTTTCAATCTGTTCCTGAGAGGGAACTGTACCAACTGGGGACATTACACATCAAACCTGGCAAATATTGCAACAATCAGCTTGGCGCATCAGCTTATGCATCCTATTACTTGTGGTGTCTATTTGCCAGGGGGTATACAGGAAGCAGCAGAGGATAAATGACAGCTTATTTGCTGCTTATCGCCCTTCCTTATCCTTCTCCCTCTCTGTTGAGGACTGCTGAGCCACTGCCCCGGCTGTAATGCCAGTGTGGCTCCATGAATCTCATGAACAAAGGATGTGCAGACAGTGCTGCATAGCAGCAATATCCAAGCTCCCCGCTCTCCCTTCTCCCATGGGCTATGAAGGCATCAATCCTCTAACCTACTTTGCTTTTGCTGGCCTGGCAGCTTGTCAGTTGGTTTGCTCCCAGTAGACGTTAGAACAACATAGGACTTGTTGAATAATCAGAGAATAACAAAAAAAGGTCTGGGAGCTTGCCCAAGCCTACCCCCTGCCTCAGGGAAGACCAGCTAGACGTAAACCATTCATGACAGGTTTGTCTCACCTGTTCTTATCAGCCTCCAATAACAGACTCACGCCTTCCCTAGGCAACCTAATCCAGCACTCAGCTATCTTTCTGGGTATATTTTTCACCTACGCCTAGAGAAATCTCTCATGCTACAATTCGATCCCATTATTTCTTGCCCTGCCCCACCACAGTCATAGAAAACAAGTTGTTCTTTTCCCCTCTCATTATTTCATATTCCAGTTTTCTCCTCACTGAACAGAGCAAACCCTCTCAGGTCTCCCTCACCGGTTATGCTCTGGAATCTTCATGTTTTTCTTTGGGCTCAGGGTCCCAAGCAGGGCATCACGCTGTCAGCAAAGCCTTAGCAGTGCTGACTGCTAAGGTTCATGCATCCTTCCCCTCTGATCTGCGTGCTATTCCACCACAGCTCAGAGACCGAAGAAGCAGAGCTTATACCTGTAAAAAAAAGGAGCATTTTATTTTGATTTGAGCAAGCTTGGGACAACTTAGAACCAATGATTTCTTTTCTCAGCAGCTAGAAAACCAGCCAGCATGCGGAGCATCTCAACTTGGCATCCCAGTCTGGTTCTTCACCATGCTGAGCCATACATTTCTGATGCCTCAGTGCTTCTGAAAATGGACAGCACAGCTTAGCTTGACCAGTGTCAAACCTTTCCTCAAGCATGGTCAAAATTTAAGTAGCTCCCAGTTTCCTAGGTTCCCCCAGAGTGCATGCCACCTCACAAGATGCCTCAGTGAAGTGGCAAAGGGACTACAAAATATCTTCAGTACAGTGGAGAGAGCAGCAGCAGAGGGAAATCATTTATTACTGCTAGCGCATTAATCATCAGGATTATTTACAAGAGTAAATGATGTTATGCGTTGCCAGCAATAGCATGCACGGAAGGTTAATCAGGACCTACTTTCCGTCTGTGTATTTATTGGATGGGACACACATTTGTCTGCTAGATAAAATTACAGGAAGCAAAAATATTAAGTGCAAGTGCGTTTTAATATATACACATCCACAAAACTCTTGTACACACACTTGTGTGCATACGGAGAGTTAGATACTTATAGAAAAAAAGGATGTGAAGTTTTTCACATCCACCTCCGAAGTTGGTATCACAGTGTAAATTACAACTTTTCCCCATCCTTGATACTTTTAAACCAATAAAGGCTGTTCAATTTTTATTTTTTTCAGTTTCTTCCTCAATAAAACTCTGCCTTCTGAAATTCTGTTGAATTATACACACAAGTCAAGACTTCTTCCACAGAAACCCCAATTGTAACAATAAATTATGTTTTCACAGGGTCATAATGTTTGGTTCCTGCTTCCCCTTTTACTGTAAAATTAAGTATTTGTAAAATTATTAAGAAGAGTTGCAACTTAGGTACATTAGAAAACTCCAAGTAAAAAGGAAAAATCAACACCTTTCAACTTTTTCTAAAAATCAAATAACTGTGACTACTTCTAGTCCATACTGTTTAGGGATGCTGAAAATGTTTGCCCAATTGCAGAAGCTTCACTGGAACCTGGAGCTGCTAGAGAAAGCACAGCCTCACATCCAGCTCTGCCTTCAGTTGCTTACTGACTTCACAAGTTAATTAAGCCCCAAATGAATGAAGTATTAAAGACGTTGTATGTCAATGCTGAGGAAAAATAACTTCTTGCCCAAAACAATGCTGTTCTTCATCCTTACTTGCAACTGCCTGGCTTTCCAAAGTTTCACTGCTTCACAGAGATAGGATCTTAGCTAGTAACCACTCCCTGCCAGCCTTCTGCAAATACTCTTCAAGGTTCAGATACATATATATATTATTTTAACAAGGATACTTTTAGATGTAAGTCATCCATTGACAACATGCATTTTAAAATGCCCACTATGCCCACATGAGGATTTGTAACTTCAGAATTGGGAGTTTTCAATTGTATAATACCCTTACCTCCAAACTTAAGTCTCAGCTCTGTTCAAAATAGCATTTGTAAAGGCTTGTATTATAAGCTGGGGAGATCACAAAGAGAAAAACAGAATATCAAGAGCACCTAAAACTGGTTTAGGTATGTCTATCTGCACTACATTACCAGTGCAGAGAGGTGCTAGAAGAGTCTGTGCTAGAACTAATGACTAATTAACTTGTATGCCAAAAATTTACAATCCACTTGTCCATTCCCACGTAGGCAAGCCCCAAACCACCCTTCCTGTCCTTCTGGAGCAATCGTAAAAAACACTTGAGTTTAGAAGCACTGCACATCCATAGGGCCTTTAAGCAGAACTATAAGTGTAGGAAAGATTTAATTATGGGCTCATAGGGAAAATTTTCATTTGAGGCTTTTTCTGCAACCTGAAAAATTACACAAATTCATAGCTACTAAAGAGATTCCTGCTATTCCCCCAAACTCAGGGGTGCTACTAGCTGACCTGCCCAGTCTCCTGTACAATTACCAACTAGGAACCTCTTCAGAGACACTCCACCAACATGATTTTCAAGTGGTTTCTGCCTTCATTTTCTTTATCTGTCCTTAAGAGTTGCTGTTCACTCTTAAAGAAGGGTTATGGGTTTACTCAAAGCAATTGAATATCAGTGCTGTGTGTGAAATGCCTTTACAGGTCAGGATTTGTACTTCAAGATAATGCATCTGTTCACCAAGACAGGAATTTTCTGTGAATAAACACTGATGGATTTGGAGGCATCTGCACGTAGGTATTGAAACTTGCATGCTTATGCATGTCCATGTGTGTGCATATACATACGTAGGCATATATATATATACACACACACCCTACACGTTGTTAAAATATAAATGGACAAAAGTGAAGGGGAAAAAAAAAATCAAGAGAAGAAGAGCCAACTCTGAAGCAGAGCTGATACTGCTATTAACAGAACAAATATTGGGCCGTAACACTGTTAACTCTTGTCACACCAAATAGCCTACATATATAAAATCCCAAGCAAAGGGCACCACGTCAGCTTTAACAGACCATCCCAATTTCTGTCTGTTTACAATAAAAATGGCTGAAAAACGAGATCCCCAAAGGGAGGAGCCTGGCAGACCCCGCAGGAGCAGCAGGAAGCGCAGCCTGCAGTCCATTGCTTCCTGCAGCGAACGAGAACTTACACAGAAACAGCTTTTAGTTGTTCCAGCAGCTGCTACTCCTTATAGAGTAATTAAAGTGCCCTTTTAAAAGAATTTTTTAAAGGGATAAAAATAGGGAAAGAGCATTCTCAGGCAGTGAAAAGAAACATGCTGCAGCAAGGGCACCATTTTGCTTAGCCAGAACAACCCTGAAGAGGCCGACATGCAAACCTCACCTGCTTTCCCTCTCCAGGTCTGATTTCAGGATATAGGGTTTGGAAACGGATCTTCAAGTTTTCACCTATTCTCAATTCACCTGTATGGCAACAGCATGCACTAGCCTTTATTTTGCCATGAGAGGAGACAAACTTCCATAAGACAAAGATGCAACGTTTTCCTACTTTGTAGGTACATAAAAGCACCAAAATAGATGGCCAGATTGAGCTGCAACTGAATCCTAATTCAATAAATTTATTACAGAGGGTAAACTTTTTACAAGAAAAACATTTAAAAGAAGGTTTTCAGGATCTGTGCAAGAAGTACTCTTAAATAGGATGAAGTTCAGTGGAGACCCCAGCTATAATAGTAATAAAAAAGAGATTACAGACATCAAGAGAAGGCTTGCTCATGATTTGAATTGTATTGCAGCATGATGAACAAGATTTCAAAACTCGGTGTTATTCAAAGAGTAATTGTGAAGCCTTATTTGATACAATTGAAGAAAAAAAAAAGATACATCAAAGCACTCAAAAATACTAAGCTGCATAAATGGGGCTTTCTACAACTTTCATGTAATGGAAAAGTGATTAATTGCACGTCCTTTGTATCTCCCAGTCAACACACTATTCTGAGCTTTTCAGGCAGGTGAAACAAGGACAAATGAAATGGAAAAAAAAAGAAATGGTAAATACTAATGCACACCTTTCAAACCAATTTTGCCTCTTGGACTTCACCACTGCCCACTACAGAAGAAACAGACATTTGTCTGGTTTTAACATGCCTATGTAAATGAAGAGAATTTGGGGGAGGGGAGAGGGAGCACTATCAATATTATTATAACTTGAGCCAAGTTTCATCGATCTTTTCAATTACATTTTAGAAACTGTTTCTCACTAACTAAAAAGAATTGTGGCTTTAAGGTCAATTACAATGGGCCTTTTAAGGTCAGTTCTCCTCCTCTAGAATTAATCCTAATTTCCATCCTGTGAAAAATCTTCAGGAAGAAAGTCATTTCCAAACACTTAAGTATATTTATTACTCTCATTTCCACCCTAATTATGTAGATTAAGGACTAGAATAAACCAATTTGCTACATATTCTAACAAGAGTGCTGTTATTTGCAACCTACTTCAACTGGAGGACTTACTCTGGCAACCTGCCTGTAAACTGCAGAAAATTTGCACAAAGGGAAAAAAGATAGCTGCTGTCACCTTCCTAGCACAAGGGCACAGCCTATGAAAGGTATCAGCCTCAGTATTCACACCCTAAGACCCAAATTTTGTGTGCGGCCTGTGGCCCAGGCTTGGCTTTCCAAACACGTGCTCCTCCAGTTCATCAAGCACAGTAAATGCTCACCATGAAAGAGCAGGTAGTTCTTGACTGCCGCATGAGGTGGGACTTGCTGTCTGTTGGCTGGTGAAGGAATTGCACATTTCACTATAATTAAAGCAGCGAAGATCTCAGAACCTTCACTATTATCACGGATGGAGAGGAAATGAAGTGGTTTGGCTCGTGCCTGTGGGAAAACAATAATTAGGCAGCTCGATACAGGGAAAAAAATTGATCAAATTCAATTTAGGTGGGATTTACTACTTGAGGTAATTATCCCTTCAAGAGCTGAACTGCTGTGCAGTAAAGCATTCAAGGGGACCTAACGTAGAATTGAGAAGGAGAAGGTCACGTTCCTTCTCTAGAATGACTCAAGATGACTTGAGGTCAGTGACACCTGAAAATAAAGCAAACAATGAAACTGCAATAAATACCTTCTACATCTCAACAGCTTTTACCTTGGAGCCTGTAAGTTTTTGCCAATTATGCACTAAGCGTAGTACCATCATAAGTCAGCAGCATAAACAGCTAAATAATTCACATTGGCATACACAGTGCCCCCTCTGTCACTGGCGATGTTATACAACTGAGAGGAGGCAGGATGGACACTTCTGGAATACACACTGTGATTCTGGGATTCAACTTTAAACAAATCAGGGAAATGGAAAGCCACTTCAAAGCTAAACCTCACAGGAAGCGTTCCTGGCAAAAATTATTTCTGCCATACATCATGGTAATACAGCCAAGGAAAAAGCAATGGAAAGCCTACAACTTGTTTGTTCCTGTATGCAAGTAGGAGAGACAGAAATTGCTGCACGCTTAATGCGCAATTCACCTTTGAGAACGATCATTTGAGGAAGTGTTAATCAGATCTCTTTCTAAGCACACGTGGTCTATTCAATATTTCATGCGCAATTAACACATTCTAAGAGCCAGCAGGTTCAATAGGAGCTGCACAATTTTAGATTTGCAACACTTTCCCTTCTTCACGTTGCAGTGTTTCAAACCAAGGTGTTTTAGCATTCAATAAACAAAAATACAGTGATCGTGAGCAGCAGTATTATAAGGTACCTGAAAAACAAACAGAGACTTTGCAGTTGGAAAGGGACCATTATCATTCTCTGGTCTTACCTTGTGCACCGCTGTGTGATAAAAACCAAGATGGTTTACGGTACTAAATAACCCCCAGTTTGAAGATAGATTGTGAAGGAATTACACATTTCATTATAATTAAAGCAGCGGATATCTGCAGAACTTACTAAATTACAAATAAAAGCTACACTAAACTGAAAGTAAAATAACAGATGGTGCATAAGTCATTAGGAAAGCCACCTCCTTAAACTAATGGATTTCAGTAGAGCTTATCAAAACTAGCAAAGTGGAAAGCATGGCAAAACCTGAGGAAAATGCAATAATAAATCCAGAGTAAAGATTGCAAGCAGACACCCTGTGTATGCTAATACAATCTTCTTTGTGTGTAAAAGGATTCCCCCATAGCAAATAGTCTAGAAGGGAAACTGATAGAAAACCCTTCAATGTCTTACTCAGAAAAGTGTTTCAGAACAAGAGAAACAAAAGGAAGGAGAAATTAGCTGAGAAAGGAAAATCCACACTGGCCACCATTCAGTCACAAACACTCCATGCATGCTGCAGACTCCCCATGCAACCCACACATTATGCTGTGGATTTGCTGTCATCTAGAAACAAAGCTCCATCTACATGATCACCGTTTGGCTGGTAAAAGACCTCAGTCTCCAAGCAGACCAATTTAGCTTCCTTTATTAGTGCCAATGGCTTTTGTCAATAAAGTCAAAACATTCCTCCTAATATTAAAAACTAAAAAAGATCAGGCATGAAGTTAACTCCACATAAAACTACGTCAGTAATAATCCCTAAGGTTTTCACATTGTTCATAACTATCATTCACTTGCTTAAGATCATATTGCAACCTCTCCATGTCTTCATTGCACCTCCTCATACCTCAGAGGATCTTACCCATCTCCACTCCTGCACACAGCTCGTTCTGGGTGGCAACTGCTGAACTTCCAACCAACTCAGATGTGACTTTTCAACGTGAAACAGTACTTATTTCTTAGATAACCATCAATCATAGAAAATTTGGAAGGAATTTCTGCTTAGGAAGTAGCTCTAACCCTCCCTCCACACCCAAAATTCATGAAAACAGGTGAATAATCCAACAGATTAGCATCCTTACTTTTCCCTGAAAGCAAAACTCAGATTGAACATTAGCAGGGGGTGAGGTGTTCAGCACTGCACAAAAGCAGTAACATTGAAGACTGCTTTGTATTGTCAAGCTGAAATTCATTTTTGTCCCCTGGCTATAGATGCCCTGCTTCATAACGTGGCTGTTATTAATGGAGAGGGTTGGGTTTGGTCTCTGCTGCCAAAGCAGAACTCCAAAGCAACATATTTCTCATTCCTGGTGCTTTGTGAATGTTAGAAACAGACTTAATTTTCATTAACAAATGATGAATTACATTACTCACAGACAGCATTGTGATATAGAGTAGCCCAATTTATGATCTAGGAGCCAGGCTGTTTCAAATTAGAAGTTATGGCTGTTCTTGTCACAGCTGTGAGTGCCTTCCAAGCAGGGAACTTCACTCCTCTGAGCTATTTCTTATCCCATCCTTACTGGGAAGAAACGACGAGCTTCCTTGGACAAAAAAGCACCTCAGTAATCCAGCTCCTTCCAAGGCAGAAAGGGGGATTCACTCCACCTAACCCAGGCAGCTAAAAGGCAGGTACACGTGAGCTGTTTCCAAGCCTCCCTTTATAGCAAAAGGAGACCAAAAGGCATCTGAAGAAGAGAAGTCATTTCATCCTCAAATTGGCTTCTAAAGGAAATCAGAGGAATAAATCTCTGGAGGTGCCACTTTCTCTCCAATGAGAGTAAAGACACGCTATGGTAACTAGTAACTTGGATGCAGATGTGTAATTTTCAGCTGTCTCAAGTCAGACGTGTACACCACTAAGTGTTGGGGGGAAGGGGATGAGGGAGGGCCACCACCACAAAACTTGTAAAAACAACCACTGCATCACATTTCTTTCAAGGCAAGATCAGAAAGTGAAGGCACCACTCAGAACAAAGAGCTTGAGAAGAATTTTTCTTGCAAATGCTGCTACTTCAGAGCATCTCAAAGATTTCCAAGGCACTTTTTCCACCGCTGCTTCAAGGCCTCCAGTATGACAGCAGTGGCCAGTTACTCAAAGAAAATTCTATTTATTTTATCATGCTGTGAATTAGTTTCATAAGACTGTTTCTTTCAAAATATTTTCATGTAAAGTGCTTCAGAATCCCACAGACCCAGGTAAGGAGGAGAAAAGAAATGTTGTCATCTGAAAACACTTAAGCAATAACTTTTAAATAGAACCTTGAACAGTTCAGGAAACTAGCTCCTATCGCTAGATTAGTTACTCCTATGTGCTACTGCACAAGTCCAAACATACTCTTTTCTAAAAGGAAAGAACCATAAGAAAAAAAATCCTTAACTTGCCTTTTGCTTTAAGAAATGGTTAAATGGTTTCTCTGTTAATTTTCAATATCCTACAGGGAGTTAAAAAATATTTCCAAAATGGTAACAAATGCAAAAAATGTGCTGCATTGGTACTGTATACAATTCCTTTGAACTGTTTGTTTTCCTGTTGTCCCTCTACAACACATTCACTATTCACACAAAGTGCAGGTTACTGGATCTGCTTAACAGTGCACTTTTTTTCCCCATGCCAACCTCTGAGAGAGGAAAAAAAATAAATCAAGAAACTAAATGCCTTAAATTTCATAGAAACAAAGCAGGGTATCTTATGCTAACAGAGAACCCTGAGAACAAACCATTTCTAATTCTGACACAATCTTTTAATGAGACTAAAACAGGCTTCTGACATCTGCCACATTTTCTCCACCGAGAAAATTTTCTTATCTTCTGTCTGTAACATTTCCATTCTTCAGCTAAAGAATTCAAGTAACAAGCTAGATTAAACAGCACACCCAGCTCTTCGGATGTTTGTCAGATATTTTTAAATCATTCTCCCTACTAGCTTCCATACACTGAGAACTACATGAAAATTACATCTCAACTTCATAGCTACAGAGGACGGGAAAAACATGGATTTAAAGCTTATACGTGCTTGTTAATATATATTTAGCAAATCATAATCCTAGAGAAGTTAGCTATAGATTTTGACAGATTTGCAGTAAAAATAGAGTTACCTAATGTCATATCAGAAATCTGTGCAGAGTCCCCATCTAACCAGTACTTAGTCTAGTAGATCTCCCATTCTGCTTTAAAAGAAAAGCTGTCCCAAAACCGGGAATTGAATCTGACTAATCTTGACCACTCCAAGGCACAAAAAGAACCATCCTCAAACAACTGAGCATTAACTACACCAATGCAACATAACTTTGTTCTGATAATGCTATGTTTAAATATTGGCCTTCAAATCAACCCACGTGGAGCAAGGTCTGTAAGTGCCCTGATCAAACCTACATAAACTCTAGGGAGTCACACTGATCCGAGACCACAGCAGTCCCAGAAGCAGCAGCCCTGCCCTATGCCAGGTGGATGCACATGTCCCTGACTCCCTGTCTAGTGCCAGCACTTGAGTTTTCAAGTTCTGTGGCCCCATCTGAAAATTAGTATTTTGTGTGTTTTGTTGTTGTTGTTTACCTTTGGTAGAGCTGTTCTTGCCAGCAGCATCCCCTTATATCTATGAGATAAACAACTCTCTTCAACAGGCACTATTGCCACCAGCTAAATTTCACTGATGGACAGAGTGGAAACTCAGGTAGGCTTCAGAGCAACCTACAATGAAAATGTTACCCATACCTGTTAATGCTTCACGACCACTAGAGAGGGAGTGGGAATAGAAGCACGCCTTTGCATGAGATTAATTTCACCCCAGAATTTGCCTTTTATTTCCATTCACCACAAAAAGAAGTGCAAGTGAACAGCTCAAGCTTACATTGAACGTTTTTATCTTTCCCTACCTTGACAAATGAGCAGACAATGGGGTGGACTGTCTCTTTTCTCACAGTATCCTCGCTTTGTTCTGCTTCTGTTACACTTCAAATAATGTCAGTTAGGATCCATCTGTCCCCATCGTTTTTTTAGATTCCTACACCGACCTGAAGTTAAACACGTGACCAATTAAAAATGAGATATACCAGTTTAAGCTGTTCACTGTTGCTTCCTTTTATAGGAAAAAGAAAGCCTTCATAAAGAGAAAAAAATCATTCAAGCAACACAATAGTTCTTAAAACAAAGGCTATCATAATGCAAAACACTCACAGGCCCAAGAAGCAAAGAGAGATCAATTTGCCAGATAGTACTTAGATCTGATACATAGGAACTAAGAGTCCTATCTATACACACTGGGAAGGAAAGCCTGCAGGTGTGAACTGTGATGTAGGCATTTTATTATTTTTTCCTTCAGGATGGACATAACATTGAAATGTTCAATAGATTATGGGACACACTAACACTAAAAACAATGAATGTTAGGAGCACAAATACTCCCTGGCTATAGAAAGTAAAATAAAACCAAATTTGACTTGATAGTAGGAGTGGATGATGCCTGAGCAAGGCCAAATAGCAACAAACCAGGTTAAAGGGAGTAGGGGGTTTACACAGCTCAAATACAGGTGGGAGAGTTAGAACAGGTGGAAGTTATCAGTAAAATTTTCAAAAGCACTTCTGGAGCAAACACAGGTTCTTCGGTTCAGTCATTTGCATGCTTTCATGCCTCAGTATGAAGCAGCAACTTTAGCTAGACCAACAGGAGGAGCACAAGACAAGGAAGTTGCCATGTCAGGTATAACAGGTGGTAAAAAATCCAGCCTACTTTCTCCTTAGAGTAGGCAGATTTGTAAGAAATGTCCTTGAGGGATTGCTGTTGGGCTTAACTAACCTGGTAGCAGAGAGTTTTCAGTCACTTGGGTAGTTTACACTCTTTGAATCTTCCAAAGCATGCTGCAGGGACTCTTACAAATATGTTTTTCTGACGCTCCAAAGGAAGGAAAAGCCCCAGAGAATTTTAAATCGAGTAAATGTGAAGATACACAAGCCAGAGAAATAAAATAGAGAATCTCCACATAAAATTTGGAGGACCTTTATGAAAGAGAAATAATTGCTGATAACTGGGAATGAGACCAAGACAGCAGCTGAGTCTGTGGTGTTGTGCTGTCTACCAAATGGACAGAAGTGTTACAAGTCAGGGGGATTTCTGGGGCCTGAGCCACACGGGGGCATTGACAGAGCTAGAGCAGCAGGGCCTGCCTTTGGAAACCCAGAGGGACAACAACATCTCTGAGCAAATTTACTCTCAGTGAGTCATAATTAGCTCCTCAATCAGAGTGCTGGCTGAGGAGAAAAACATCCGGGAGCTTATGATGGAAAAGTTATATGCATCAACAGTCTGAGGGCTGGATCTGATAAAGGAGTTGGGTGCAAACATGTTACAGGTTAATTTGTAGTGCCTGGCTTCCAAAGTGGGAGTGCAGGCAGGATGCAGGTGGACAAAGGACTCGGAGCAACCTAAGATCACAAGGCTGCAAAATGTGCCGCCCTTCAGCCACCCTTCCAGCAGCCTCTCCTCTGTGCAGTCGTGCATTCACTGTCCCTAGACCATCTCATGAAAGAATTAGTAAGCCTGTGATTACAGTAATGTAAAATTTCACTCCCACCACTATCCCTGATTTGATTTCCAATCAAAACAGGGAGAAAATGCTGCACACAGCAATATCACCGACCCTGCTGACAGGAGGGAGGAAGCAAAGACTTACCGCTATGGAAGAGGTGTCAGGGAGCAGCCAGGCCTTACTGCTCTCGTAGTGATGGCAAGCCAGGGGTGGCCCCAGTGCAGGCAGCATCCTTGCCAACCTGGGTCACAGTCCCAAAGCATCCAAACACAGCCAGGTGCTGGTAGCAGGTCCCACTGAACAGCCCCAGACACAAGGAAGGAGCAAACCAGCTTCATAGTCTGTTTGGGGCCTGCCAAAGATGAGGCAGGAACAAGCCTGTAGCCACGTACACAGGTGGCATAGCTCAGAAGAAGAGTAGATGGGCAGGCTTGAGTTTATAAGGAGCTCCTGTGTGAAGCTTGTTGGGGTAATTAATGCCAGGTGGTGGTACACTGAGGACACTGGCAAGAACTTCTACAGTAACAGACTGAACACATCTAGTGGATGTAGGTGGCAAGATTTCAGTAGTGTGGGAAGGGGTCAGTTAACGTTTGGGTTTGTTTCTCATTACCCAAATCTATTTAAGCTAGGAATAAATTAATTTTGCTCAAGTTGAGTCTGTTTTGCCTATGAGAACTAGCTCCCTGTGCTTATCTTAGCCCACTAGTGTTTTCATCCTATCCTCTCCCCGTGTCCTGCTGAGGAGGAGTGAGCAGCTGGGTGGGCATTTGGCTGCTAGCAAAGGCTAACTCAACACAATACCAAAAATTGACTGCGTAGTCATCCCCAAATGCTTTCAAAAATCACGATCCCTCTTTCCCCAAATTCTACAGCTTGTGCAAAAAGCTAGAGAGCTAGTTTATGGATGATGGCAAGCAAAACAATGATTCTGAATACTCATTTCCTTGGAAAATGAAAACTAAGTAAAATAAAATGCAGTTAATATCTTAATATGAATAATTAATAATAATTTAATGATTGTATTAACTAGAATGAGATTAGGCAACAGAATAAGACAAACATCTCTTCTCCTGCAACTGAGATTTTTTCCTCTGCTTGCTGTTGGGGAAAAAGAATATGGAGCTAGAATTTTGAGAAAGAAGAAAGGTGTTGCAGTGAGCTACCTTTAATCGCCTCCTTAAAACAGTAAATGAGCAAAAAGGGGACCTGAGGTCAATGATGAACTGAGCCTGAAGGGATTCAAATTTATATTTTCTGCCTCCTCAAGGCAAACCTTAATCACTTGCTAAGTATGGCTAAATGAAGGAAAGTTTCCAGGCGCTCTGGGCCACAGTGCAGAGGAGAATGCAATAATCAGTCTGTTAAGTCTTGCTGAGTTCTGCTTCCTTCTCCTCTAAAAGTCACTGAAACAAACAGAGGAATAGTCCAAAGCACAGAGTTTAGGATTTTTCTGCCAACTGAAGGCCCCAGTCACTACAGCAAAGCTCCCCTTGTGCCCTCTCTCTCTAGTTTTGATCAAAGGCTCTTACATTCCCAGTTATATACTAACCCAGTTAAAGGGAAAGCAGCATGATTCAGGCTGGGAAAACACCCTCCACTCAGCACTTACTCTAGTATGGCAGGTTGGAAAGAAAAGTTAAACCTCCTTCTGGCTGAGAAAGGAATTTATCCTGGTCACACACTCTCTCAGCATGTATTCTAGCCAATTAGGCTGTAATACAAAAGATGTGTAGGAAGACTGTCACACTACGTTCACAGCTTTGAAAAGGATGTCGTCAAATCTGTTTCTTGTGAACGATTCTCTGTAAGCAAGCATTATCTGAAATCTATTTAATCTGAATAAGCTCCTGAAAGTTGGAAGGATGACTGCCTGCTTTCTGAACCTTTATTGCTCTCAGGGGACATCAGTGCTAATAGATCCAGTTTGGGGAGAGCTAAGTTCAAAACCAAGTCCCTGAAACTGCCACATCAATAGGGAGCCACTCATACGGAATGATGCTTGAATTCCTAGCTCTGATGGGCTGTGCTTGCTTTTGAAGAGGATTTGACCCTTATGATTTGTGCTTCTCCAGCGCTGAACTGGATGATCCCGGTCAGTCTTCAAGCTGAAAAATGCAGCTTAACTGCTTAGAGTTTATTGACCAACTTGCTTTGCGGTTTTATCCAAGTATAGTGATTGTTTATCAACGTTCTCATCTGTCACGTACTCACCTTTCTGCCAGGCAGTTTGACTTCCAAAGTTTTTTAATAAATGAACATTCCTCAAGCAGAAAGTAAATTACATGTACACCATGTGAGCATTCATGATATGCGGTATGCCCACCTGCACACAAGAAATCCCAGGGTTAAACAAATGTGTCCTTTACTGAAATAAAAGAGGAAACAAAGAAGACTTTGCAAGTCCAAATAATAAATCAGATGCTTCAACAGCAGGCCCGACACTATGCTTTTCCTCAACATCTGCAAGCTGCTGCTAGGCCAGCACTACCCATTCACTAAAAGACTCCTAATGATATCCCATTAACCAGGATTGAAAGAGTCTAACTGCAGAGGAACCCCACACTTTTTAACTACTCCCCATCCCAGCAGAAGCAATCACATCTCCATGATGTCTGTGACACAGAGCAATAATGCCCTTGTTTGCAGACGTTCTTAATGACACCAGTACAGGCAGCATGCTCAAGTCTTCAAAGTAATCCATCGTGCCTCCCTTCCAGCATAATCAAAACACCTTCACTTCAGCTTGTCAATGACAAAAAATGCCTTCTTTGGAGTGCCAGGTTTCTAGGCATGCAAAGCTATCAGTAACCTTTAACTGAGTGCCCCTGAACTGTGGGAGAGGTATGTTCCTTTGGGTTCTGACTCCCACAGCTGCATCCTCTGCCCATACTCACACAGCATATTGGGATGAGACCAGGATGCTCATCCTTCCCTCTGCTCCCCGGTATCCCTGAAGGAACTCAGTGGCATAGGAAAGGAAGGAGCCACGTGCCCTCCTAGACCTCTCTCCTAGTCCCATGCAGATTGTTTACGGATCCGTGGTGAGCCATGCTCATGCTGCAGAAGACAGTCCATGACAATATATCGAACATGCCTACTGGTTGAAAAAGAAATTTCATCCCACCACTTCAGCCTGGGGCTTTTCTCCTAACAGGCAAGCAATTTTGGTAACTGAACAGTTAACCCAGATAGTAACTCACTACAACTTTGGATGGTTTCTAGTTGGCTAAAGATGAATATCCTGCTTTTTTTTTTTTTTTTTTTTTTTTTTTTTTTCCTGAGCATCCTATTTTTAATAAATAATTCACTGCTTGGACAGCATTCAGCAGAAATTAGTCTCTGTCTTTAATTAAAATTTAACAAAATACATTCCTTATGCTGGCTGGCTGTACTTCCCTAAACAGTCTAATTATCCTTCCTTGATGAAGTAAACAGCACAGCTACAATTTTCAGGAGCAATTGAATATTTTTGCTTTTGCTGCTAAATGTGCCTCCACGTTCATTTCCTAGCTTGGGATCAATGCCTGCACCAGGAAGACAACACAACTTTCCTGTAATAAGGTTACTTATGCCTGTGATGAATTACTTTTGGCTCTTAATGACTCTCAGCATGGGGTTTCTTTTCCTCCTGCTTCACTGCTTGGAACATTTGAATCTTTTTTTTTTTTTTTTTTTCCTTTTCATCTGATGTCAAAAATCACCACTTTGGTTCTTAATTAAAGTATTTAATTGTTAAGCTGATTTTGTTCCTTGCTAAGGTGGGACAAGATACTGTTGGCCCATTATTATTTCTCTCTTTTTCATCTTACGCCTTCAAAGAAAGAACTTTCTTATTGCAGACGTTTCACTAGGATTTTTCTGTACTAGAGGGTGGGTTTTTCTTTTTATTACATGTTCTTTTTAGTCATTCCAAACACATTGTCTCTAATCTGCTACCTGGCACATCTCAATCCTCCATTCAAATCACTTCAAAAAGGATTCCAAGCAGACTATTCAATTAGAATGACATGACTGAAAAATACAAATGAAAATTTAATGATCTAGTTATACCCCATGGCTACCTCACCTGTGTTATCTTCAGCTCTGCTTTCACGAACCCAACTGCATTCAGTCATTTGGGCCACAAACTATTCTGTGTTGCTGTCATCCCTCCGTTATATTTATTTGTTTTTAACCCAAAAAAAAAAAGGGATGAAAAATAAACAGCAAGGTATCTGATTGTTGAATCAGATAAGAGGCTGTCCTATAGAAGCAGAACAGCCAGTCTTGAGAAATGACAATGACATGGGGAAGGGGACTTCACATAGATCAGTGTTTATGATACAAATGAGAGTTAATTCCTCACTTTTTACTGTCCTGGCTCTTTTAAATCAGCACAAATGAATCCCTCAATAGTCCCCATCCTAGCACATGACTTAAGAGTCACTGCGTGGCTTCTAGCTACCCTTAAGAACACAGGGGACTGAAACACAGCTTGCCAAAATTAAAACAGATGGGTCCCATCTCACAAATTATTTCCTTTTTGTAATCAGCAGCCTCAGAAGATGTAGCACACAGACACCCTGACCTGCTTATCACACAGACAGTTGACTTTCATCTTGCCAGGTGGTTATGATTATCTACCAGATTACACTCTGATATGAAATTGGAATGTGGAGCTTGCACCTACAGGGCTTCTGGCAGCACAGTTTGCAATGGGATCACCAGAGAGAAGAAAAGCTTGCAGAAATAAAAAAGGAGTACTTTTGCTCATGGCTGACTAAATGTCTTACAAATATCCAGTCATCACTAGAAGCTATAAATACTATTACTCAAAACAAAAGCAGAAAGGTTCAGTCCAAACCAGAAAATAAAATCTGTTCAATGTGTTGGTATTTAGAGAACAGACCCAATGAAAAAAAAAATATATATATGAGGATGAGGGAGAATTCATTAAATGCCTGAGACAGGCGAGTCGTCAAGTCTGCGCTATGCTTCTGAGGTTTTGTGAACAAGGTGGAAAAAATCTCAGCTAAAATAAAGTACCACCAGGGCCCCCCGCCAAATACAACAAACAGTGAAGGCAACAGTGGGAAAATCACTCCTCAACAACAGGATATGTGCAAAATGTCCAGGGCATGATACCAAAAAACTACATATGACCAGGAAAACCACAGGAAGTAAAACAATCTACCTTGCTAGATGATGTTAAAATGTCAGCTTTGACAGAAACTGAAGGAGAAAAATTATCACTAAAGGCACCAGAAATTGCCTGATACAGCACAAGGACATTACCTATCCAAGCTTCTCTCTCCATTTGTTCACACTGGTTATTCATAGCAAGCTGGCTGAAATACTGTTTAAGGCATTGCTAGGAAAAGGGTTAAAGGATCCAACATGGATATGTATGC